AATATTCTAAATTTTTTGTATCATAATAATGATACAAAATGAATGATGAATGATGATAAATTAATGAGATTTAAGAGCTTTTCATATTATCTAGATGGGCATAACATTCAAGATCATATTCATCAATCGTCGCATATTTACGGCTTTGTACTCATTCAGTTGCTCGATTTCGAATAGAAGCTTAGACATTGACAATAGATCATTATTACGTATATTCTCTTGTCCTTCGTGAAATAAACAGATTCAATTACCTAGTACTATAACGCTAATCAATGCAACAGTTGGGTAGGACCAAGGTGATAAGAATAGTCCATAATCATGACGCGATGTGTTGGAGTTTTGGAGATTTCTGCTTACCCAGAAGATGAAATTGAAGAGCATTAGCAAGGTCTTCATACAGGTCATCGTAGCCATGGTTTCCAGTCGTGCTTTGCTCATACTGGAATGTTTATCTTTCGTTTATTTAATTGCGACAAAACCCTTTCGATATAGTCGGGATATGGGTTATTACGCACTATCTAAGTCTCACCTGGGTAACGAGTGGAGTTCGTGCGATCGATTTGCGAGAAGATTTGCGAATACGTGTTGCGTGCGTGGCTCCTGCCCCACCCTCAACAATTTCAACTGGTGCATGCGCGCTACCCTGCGAGAATAATATAGCGATGGAGGGAACTCCCTTATCTGAACAATTCTATATATGTAACGGGAACAAGTGTACCGCGGATACCGCATATACAGAATATTCCAAAAAAATCAGAACACTTGATATCTTGGAAAATATAAGTTTTACAGAAAAGTATTTCAAACAAAAGTTGTAGGATTGTTCAACAAGATCTATTTGTTGATCTTATCAGTTTGACTTTGAATGACATCGCTAAGGTCAGGTCAAAGTCACATCGATTTTTTTGGAATACCCACTTCTGATTCCAGAATCTAATAGCTGGTGTCGAGAGCTTTCCAAAATGTTATAAGAAAATATTTTTTCATTAGCATTTTTTCAGTTATGATACTTGAAAATTACAGTACCGCCGGCATTAGCATTACCATTGCGGAGGGTACCATTGCAAAGATTGGAGAATAATGCAGCCAATGAAGACAAGATGGAACGATCCAATCAATAACTGGATCAGTCAATCAATGACTGGATCATTGTCCGATCTTATCTTCATTAGCTGTATTATTCTTTAATGCATTCTTTCTTTGAGCACGTATAAATCCATCGCGGCAACCTCCACTTGGCTAATGCCGGCAGTACTATAATTTTCAAGCATCATAACTAGCGATAGGATTAAGTATCTTACAAGTAAATTCGAATCTGTTAAAGCAATTTCGAACTCTCTGTGATCACTTTGAAAAATAGTAGCAATACCTCCAAGTAGATTTGAATCTAAACAAAATAGATTTGAATCCTCTATGAATACCTCGAAAAATAAAAGTAGTACTTCCAAATGGACTTGAATCTAAACAGAATAGATTCGAACCCTCTATGAGTATCTAAAAAAATAAAAGCAGTAGATTGTAGTATACCAAGTATACTCGAACCTAGATTAAATATGCCCGAAACTTATGAAAATTATAATCACGCAAAAAAAAAAAACATTTTGTGAAATGTCCTTCTTATTTTTGAGATTAATACATATTCGGACTTACAATTTATCGATTCGCATAAAGAGATTAGTAGAACTATCGATTTATCAAATAACTGTTTCAATAAAATTCAATATAATAAAAATATAATATAAAATATAATATAAAAATATAATATAAAAATTCAATATAAAAATATCAAGAAAGAGCATTAGTAAAGACATTATAATGGGATGCCATAAGAATGTCCGGCATTTTCTTCAATAGTGAATACAACTTTCAAATGTACGTATATTTGTGTAATAACACGTTCAAGATTAAGAAGAATGAAGGAATATTTATATTATAATTAAATACTACTTTGAATGAATCGTTCGAAATGGTAGAAAGTAGAAATACAGATTATGTTATGTATTCATATACATATGAAATTTTGTTCAAAATGAAATTTTTGTTAAATATTCATAAAGTATTTAAAATTAATAATAAAAGTTACTTTATTTCATTTTCCAAATATATATTTATATTTTATAATACTGTTTGTAAAATAAAATATTTTAACATTTTTTTTGTTTTTATTCAAAGTTTTTCTTTCTCAAATTTTTAATCAGGGAATTTTTTTCAAAAAGTGACCGGGAAAATTAAGAAAAATAAGGAATATTTTCTTTTGTATTTTGCTACAACCCTGTTAAAGTACTACTTGTAAAAGATTCGATTTTGTATGATAAAAAGTACTTTGTAAGTATATTTTGAATCTTGTAGGTATTCATTTGTAAGATTAGAAACTAACAAAGTGAGATCAATTACCTTGCAAGTATAAAATATTACTTCTTATAAGTATTACTCGAGCCCTAGAAAATGAAGCTAAATTATTAGATTGACTTTAAGTACAAATATTGAATTTGATCTCATCTCTAATCATAACTCAAAAAGTACTGAATGAAAAAATATTTTCTTATAGTGTTTTGAAAAGATTTCTACATCAGCTATTAGATTCTGGAATTAAAAGTAGAGTGTTCCATTTCTAAAAAAATCGACCTTCATCTTGGACACCTAAGATCAAACTGATAAAATCAATAAATAGATCTTTTTATAGTCTACTTTTTTGTCTGAAACATTTTTTTCTGTAAAACTTATATTTTCCAAGATATTCAAATATTCCGACCTTTTTGGAACATCCTGTATATTGGCACATTGAATAGATATAATCGTAGAATATCGTAAAGACCGAAATAGAAGCTCTCTTCTTGAGAAATAATTACCTTAGATGTTTCTGTTGGATTGAAATTTTGGAACTAAAATAGTGACAGTTTTCTTTATTGGAATAACTGCTGATGCACCAGTGAATACATCACAAATGACACAAATATTCAATAAAAAATGTAAAAGAGAAAGACTTCGCGAGATTCTTTAATTCCGTTGATGTTGTTCATTAGAGTTTTGCATTAAAAAATTGAAGACATTATAACAATAGTAATTCTTTTATTAGAATAATTAAACCCTATAATATACAACTAAATTAAAATGTGACAGATGACAAATGATGAATATAATAAAGACAACATAAATTCAAAATTACGCTTGTATTGATATATGATTGATATTGATATATTGGCACTTGAAATGCAAATTCAAAAATGTATAAAATTTTTTTTATACATTTCATATTTTTGTTAAACTCTTTCATAAAGCATTTTAGAATATACTACGTTTATATTTAATAATATGTTTTTTCAGAATATGTTAAAGTTTAGTACTCTTTGTTAATTTAATAGTTCCGTGCTGTTAAAGTACGGAAAACCCTGGGATATCCTATGATGTATATTTAAACATGTTTAAAACATTAAATTTTTGTTATATATTAAGTAATTCAAATTTTTTTTTTTTTAGGGCTTAATATTACAGGATTGTTTGATAAAAAACATTGTCATAAAAATTATTTGTAATAAGATCTGAAACATCACAAACTATCCATAAAAGATTCATAATATGGCGCATTGCATTGTTTCATATGATGATTAAAAATTAACAAATAATAATATTATAATGATGACATATTTATTGTAGAAAGATAAGTATGTACATGAATCTTTTAATTTTAATAGAAGTATGCGTTGTCGATTAACTACTTATTGCGGATAGTACTTTATACAAATTAAAGATTGGAACTTTTTAATCCTCATCAGTTCATATTAATATTCATGTATATTAATCTAAATCTTGATCATATATCATAAATATTGCACATAGAAAGAGTAAAATGTCGTTAAATTATAATAAAAATTTTATTAAGACATTTGCAGGATTGTAAAATTGATTGATTTAATATTTAATGTGTAATAAAATATAATAAAAACATTTTATTATATTTTATTACACATATTAAATCAATATTTTACAACAATAATAAAATATTTTATTATATTTTATTACACATTAAATATTAAATCAATATTTTACCATACGAATTTCTTAATAAAATTGTTCATTATAATTTAACAATGTTTTGCGATCAAGATTTAGATTTTTCATGCATCAACATCATTTTCAATATTCAATAATTTTAAAAACACAATTTTATTTAAATTAAAAAAATTTATTTTTAAAATATTTTATTTTTTATTAGAATTTGAAAATATTCTATTTTATTTCATTTATTATGTGAATTGTTGCATTTTGATTCTGTTTTTTTTGTTGCGCAAATCCAAAAAAATCTTTAAAGATATTTGATATATTTTTTCTCTCAAAAAACTGTCAGACAATAATAAACAATAATAAATGAATAAAACAAAATACTCAAAAAAATATAAAATTTTGTGTACATTAATAAAAAATAATAAAAAAAACATAAAGAAGAGAAATTAAACATATATTTATTTTGAACTATAAAACCAGTGTATAAGTTGTTATTTATAATATAATCTGTATATAATGTTTATATAATCTGTTGGCATTTTTCAAAACTCTTACGAGTTTATGCGCAAATTTGTTCTGCTTGACGGATTTTACTTTTATTGATCTTTCGGAGAGTTGTTGGCAACATTGAAGTTGTTGGTATAATTATAATTTAAATTGGTACAGTAATTGATCACGATACAGTGATTGACTATTTGCTATGAATTTGTTTACATATTAAAATCCAAGTTAAATTAACAACTAATTTCACAGTATAGTATAATAACTGATCTTTACTAACTTCATATATGAATCATAGTATAAAGACAAAGATATGTTCGTGCGCATGGCCATGTTTCTGGAGCCAATAAGAATTGTTCACAAGCGTACGTCATCATTAAGCACGAAATTCGAATGTTTTTCAATCCGAAAAATTTTCCGACTCCTTTTTTGTCTTATGATGGTAATTTTTGCATTCTGCACAACACATTTGAATGTTAACCCTTCGTTGACATCCTTTTTTTTTGCTTTTTGACACACTGAGTGGTTCATACTCAGAGCAATATTTAAACAACATTTTCATTAAAAATCCAATTAATATGAAAAAAATTATGGGTCAATTTCAAGGTCTATAAATACATTCAAATAGTTTTTGATTGAGATTTCATTACAGTTTTTGTGAAAAAAATTCTTGAATTCAATGAATAGAGAAAAAACGAGTAAAATCTTTGAAAAATTTTAATTTTAAAAAAATTTAATATTAAAAGTTAAAACTTTATAGAATTGTTGTTCAGATATGATACTTTAAAAAAAATTAGTTTATAAGTTGGTTTTGAATAAAGGGTATTTATTTTACATATTGAATGTAGGCTATTTTGGGAATTGAAAAAACAAAGATTTTTTTACAAACATTATATTTTTGTTCTACAATAGAGAAGAAAATTGAGTTTCAGAGAATTAAAATAATTTTGTGGATGGTTTACACCCAGTATATCGAAGGGTTAAATTACTCGAACTGTATTACTTTGAACTACAGAATTTATTCGGCATATACTGCACATGTGTTGACGACCATATTTCATTGACACTTATCCGTCCGGAAACAATCCGCTTCGAAT